GTAGCTGAGCGTTGACGTCAGTCTCTCCCTCACCCGCAACAGCTGCCGGCTCCTCCCAACACGCTTAGGTGGTGTTGCTCCTCCGCTCGCTCGCAACACACTTTTCTTTTGCTTCTCCTCTCTACCACCCTCAACACAGGACCACACGTCGAGTGGAAACTCTTTTACGGCTCGTTTATCTGCGATGGAACTTACATGAAACCCAACCCGCCTCCCGTGTCTTTGCGTTTCAAAGAAACGTTTACTCGCGTAAAGGATACACCGAGTTTCGCTTAAAACCGTTCTTCCAGCTCCACCGTCGACGCCCGTTTCAGCCGGGTCAATGGCGTGCGCACCACTGCTGCTTCGAAAAATAAATGCATTGAATGAATGAGTTATTTACTTATTCATTTATTTATCAAGTAATAATAAAGATTATTATTCCCGTCAGTGCCTTCATTATCGAACACATCGCTGAATCACACACGAAGAAAAAAATCGCAGCATATCCACGGAGTGAATGATGATGAGTGGGGTGAAGTGTCCGTCTGCTAGTCAATCTGTCCATCCGTCCATGCGTCCATCCGCGCGCCCATCTAGTGAGCACTCCAAGTACCGGCATCTTTCTTTCTTTATCTCTCTCTCACTATATATATATATATATATATATATATATATATATATATATATATATATATATATATATATATATATATATATATATATATATATTCTAGAATAAAACGAAAACATTACATTCTGGGTGGCCTTCTGCGCTAATAGCTGTAATAAAACAGCTTGACCAAGGCCCAGAACAGTTACATGGCAACAAGTGACAGCTGAACATTCTTGCACCAAAAACGTGCAAGTCATGATCACACATGGACGAAAAATATTTAGAAAAACAAAGTATATAACATTACCTGTACAAACATAACATGTAATTATTTAAATAAACACATTTTTAATAAAGAACAAATCATAACAGAACACTCAAGATTATTTACAGAAAAAAATGTAATACTGAAAGTACAAGAAAAAAAATATAGCAATAGTACACCTGTAATTTTGGCAGTAAACTACACGAAACAACAATATCCACAAAATATAAGAAAAAAAGCATGGTAGCTAACCCGACATAAAGGTATACAGTGAAATGTAGTGCAGCATGAATAAATAATTGAAACGTATGATTACATTAGTATTTCAAATATAATTCACGTAATATTTTTAGCGCCAGTTTATATAAATGTTTATGCTTGTTAAGAATACATGGGATGTTATATTTAAACGACTGAAGTTTATTGTCGGTGCGAAAGCGCGGTATAAGCCAGCCTCCAACATTCCGAGTATTGATAACGAGACTGTTACGTTGAAGTGCCGCCGTGAACTCGATAAATTGTTTACACGAAGAAGAACATATGTAAAATGATTGCAGGATATGAAAGTCGTACATATATTAGATGTTAATTATACTGTACTTGCGAAAATGTGTCGATGTCGGTGATAAATAACCAGTGTTGGCAATGTGACGGACAGCTTTCTTCTGCAAAAACAATATTCTGCTGATGTTGCGTTGAGTTGTAGTAAGCCGAACCAGACTGCAATAGTGTATGTGTGATTGAAAGAGTGCTGAATATATGCTGGCTACTATTTGTGGAGGGCAAATTTTAAGACATCGTGGCAAAGCTCCCACTGTAAAAGAAAGTTTTTTGCATAAGTGACTTACATGAGATTTCCAACTTAAATGAGATGAAAATGTTACACCGAGAATTTTATGTTCTTCTACAATTTCTGTTTTTTTGGGTCTTCACAAATAATATCGTGTTTAATGTCCAGAATCTTATTTCTAGCTCTAAATATTATTAATTAGTTTTCTTCAGGATAATTTTAAGTTTGTCCCATCTCGCAACTCCTGTGGCACATACCCGCTCTAGAGCGGGTAGTGCCACCGGTGGCTATATACATACATACATACATACATACATACATACATACATACATACATACATACATACATACATACATACATACATACATACATACATACATACATACATACATACATACATACATACATACATACATACATACATACGGAGGAGGAGGTGGAGGAGCGACAGACCAATGCCATAAGGAGCTTCGCCCATAAAAGCTACAGTTCCATCATCAGGGTGAAACAGTGATTAAGTTAACAATAAATTGGAATGTTCTACAAAGGCGGGTGATTTGTCACTGCTCTCAAAAACTTGGGTGACGCTTGACCGTCGCTTTCAAGAGTAGAACGCAATAGCGTAATCGGGCTCCGCGCCTGTTGTCTTGATCCATGCCTCCAGGGAGAGAACGTCTGTGTGCAAAACAGTGGCCGTTGCAAACTGTCTCCTGGATTTACATACAGTTGCTAAGTGCACACAAACTACTTCACAGTTCTTTCGTTTGCTAATTGGCGAAGTACCCCCGTCCGTAAGGTACCACATGCACTTGCACAGCTGCACATTTTGTAATGGTTGGACTGACAATGTTTTTAGATAGGTGCATTCTAGGCTTCGACCACGCAATATTGCCACAGAGACTAATTACACTATCCGACATTATGAAGAATCAACGTCCACAGTCTTGTGCGCACTCCTGCTTGTGGCCACACGACTCATGCCTCTTGTTCACGAGCACGAGTGAGTGTGGGTTGGAGCTGCGAAGAAGAAGGTGCGTTGGCGGATGAACAGTTTTCGTTTTGGGAACGCTCTAGCGGACTGTTCCATTTTTTCGCACATAATTTTCAGGGCGCAAGTTCACCCATAATAACCTAGATTTTTTGGTGTTTCTTTTCTTGCACGCGTTACAATATTACGTGTAGTAAAAAGACTCCTGCCACTACATTATATTCATATAGCTTTTTTCCCCATAACGGTATCGTTACAATCCCAAAATTTTCATTATTTTATTTGCATCTTTTTTTGGACTTTTCAGTCATGACGTTTTGCTCACAACCAACAACCTGGACACCGACTCCGACTCCGGAAGTTTTGCCAAACGAGCTCTTTAGCGCTGTCGCTTTAAAAGCTCTGGTGCAAAGGAATACGGCTCCGCTTGCAATTCGCTCCACGGAGCGAAGCGGCTTTTGAACTGCGTATCGCTTCATCGCTAAGTAAATGGTGAGAGCACAGCTCGTACCGAGACATGATCAATCTGCTCATCGCTATCGAGATAGCGCGCGCAACCACGCCCGTGTGATCAAAGTTTGCAGTTCCTGTTCGAGCGACGCAGGCCGCCTCTCCCAGCCTGGGCCCCTTCATCATAGGCTGATGGGCTAGTTGGTGAAGTATGATATTGATGAAGTAGCGCGCAAAAAGCAGATTCACGCACCCTTAAATAAGTCGCAAACACCAATGCTTGCGTTTGCCACCCCTTCACGCTCATTCGCGCGACGCACCCAGTTTGCGTGTGTCGATATACTATATACTTGGGCTTTCCTCGCACATAAAGCATATGCCGTGCTGGCGATCTCATCAATTTGGACATTACATAGGTTATGACGGCGAAAACGTGCCTCGAGACTCCGTATAAGTGCTACCGTGGTAAAAGAAGCATTTATTTCTGTCCATGCGGTAATTTCCTCTTTACTGGACAATGGTTCAATAAAGCCGCTTAGCCGTGGGGTAACAGTGCACCACCAAATGCAGCTGAATCAAGCGCTCATAGCACTGTGACATATTGTGTCTCGCCCATCAGTCGATATCACCAAGTTTCTCATGCATGAATATGTAGCGGCGGGAACTGCACCACAGAAGAACGGCTATTTGGGCTATAGTTGGCTGAATTAAATGTCCATAGGGGTTGCAGCGCAAGCACGAAAGTACTGACAGAAAAGCGTATGGTACGTAAGGCAAGGAATAGAAATTAACACGCGAAATCACTGAGGCGTATCATATTAGAATATTTAAAAAATTGGTGACGAATGCGTGAGCCAGCCTTCGGTCGCTTTGCATGAAAATAAAATCGCGCTCTTGGATAAGAGTTAGTCATTTACCATTGTACCTTCGTTATTATCGGACGATTCCCCGAACTATGTCACGTTGCTCACGTTCGCTTGTTGAAAGATTTTACCTGTTTGTATATATGAAAATGTGTGCTGTGCAAAATGAATTCAGTAGGTATATAGTCAGAGCTCGTGTTGTCTCTCTTTGTCTTCCGTTCTTCGCCATCCGTGCGCTTTCCTTTCAGCACTTTCGTGCTTGCGCTGAACTACTATTAACATGCATCGCAGAAGTAAGCACCCTTACCGCATTCTCTTAACGAATTAGTGGTATACGTTTGTAGTATGATGCCGTTTGATATAGCTGTTCCATGATTAGCCTATACGTAGTGCTGAACAGGATCTAAAGCCTTGCTTATTCTCAGATTTAAATTTGTAGTAGCTAAATTAATGTACCTCCGCAAAATGTATGCATCTAGTACGTACGAGGAAATCACTCCTGACAGTGCGGATATTTTGTTCGTGCGGTTTGCCGGGTGCGATCAACAGCTTTTATCCACGTGATTGAAAACATTTATGATAGAGAACCCAGTGTCGTACGACGTGCCCTGGGTGTGGGTTGAGTACTCAGTCGTCATGAGCCGTCACAGTTAATACTGTGCACCTTTGCGACATGATCGAGCTCGTCCCGGGAGTTTAACCAAGTTGGGCGTAACCCATAGAGTGATGCTGCTGAAGCGGTAAATGTGTGTGTGTCGAGAAAACAGCGAGCGATAGAAGCGAGAGATCCGTGAGAAGCGCGCGAGTAAGCTAAAAAGGAAGCGTACAGCTCAGCGCGTCCCGAAAAGACAAACAGTTACGTCTACGGGCGAGGGAGAAAATACCCTCTGTCACGCCCAAGAGAAAGTGAGAGTAGCCCGAATAAGAGAGTCGGAATTCTTGTGCGCCCGACTCACTTCCCTTTCGGCTTCCGAGAAAAAAAATGAAAGTCTTTGCGGCACAGTGGCAGAACGACACACCGACACACGCGCCGTCCCAATTAAAGGTAACCCCTCGCCTCAAACATTGGGGGAGGCACCGGTCCAGCATCCCCGCCCACCAGCAACACCCGGGCTTTGTGGCTGACCGTCGGCGGGTATAAAAGCGCGCCTGCGGTCCTCATCCCACACAGTTCAACCAACTCCGAACCATCGCTCCTCCGCAAGGACTTTCCCAAACCGGCGTGATCATGAAGTCCATGGTAAGTGGCAACGTGACGTACGCTTTTGTGTGAAAGGGTATTTCTCGTACGTGGTTCTAACGATAAAGGCTGCTCATTGCAACTAACCGTTGATAAGCAGAGAAACTAGGGATTAATTTAAGTAGGCCTTAAAAGCAATGACGCTTTAATCACCCGTATGGACAAGGATTATCAAAGGTAGACGGTAAAATGGTTCTACCACACGTAGAAAGATGTCTAACTACAACTTCTGTGATTATTATAACTTCTTTTGATTGATTGATTGATTTGTGGGGTTTAACGTCCCAAAACCACTATTTGATTATGAGAGACGCCGTAGTGGAGGGCTCCGGAAATTAACTTCTTTTGGAATATGAATGAGGCACGTAAGGCCCCCGCCAGTGCTACCTAAAGAACGGGACACAGAATTTTAGCTTCGGTATAGCCGGAAAGTTAATTTACAAGCCCCGCGTTGAATTATTTCCCTTTAAACTTCAAGCTGGCTGCTAGGCTTCCTTTGGTTAGGCGCCAAAGTACCTAAAACAGGAAAAATTAGATGTCTATATGCGAATCATTAACTTTTTCAAATTATATTAAAAAAAGAGCTTCTTCTTGTTTTTGAATCGCTTCTCGTTTGCACAACAATTTCCGACAAGCAAAGCCTGTGATTTCTGTACTTTTCTTCTGTAGCTCGTGCGACATGCGATGATTCGTTATTGCTTAGTTCTTAAACTCATAACATTATTCCTTTATTGTTTCTATTCACTGTTACTAACATTTTTCATTCAATTCTTGAATTTCTATGTCCACTATTACGTTGAGTGGAAGAAAGCGCTGTTAATCCTTATGGTGCGAGCTTCTCTTTCACCCCTTCAGCTGTGTATATTCGACATGACAAATCTAATATTTCAGTGTAGTGGCATGGCTTATGTAGCATATTGATGACTGTATTAGTCCCCCTCCCCCCCTTTTTTTTCAAGTCTTGTAAAATGGTTCTCTTGCAAAGCCACTATCTCGACGGTACACTCAATGGCTCTACATTGCAATGTAGTTCGGTAGCGTGTATACGAGAACCAAGCTAATGTTGAAGGTCATCAATCACACGCAATGGTCCGATCCCTCCAGTAGACTACGGAGTAACTAGAATGGAGTTAGCTGCTGTAAATGTTGAATTCTGTTCTGCGTATCAATCTTTGTCTGTATGGGGTACCAGCCCTTGATTGCGCTGGTATGCTAGTTCACACCACTAAAATACACAGTAAAGTTGTGCTTATCAAACTCTCTTGCAGTTCCTCGTCGCTCTGGTGGCAGCCGTTGTTGCAGCGGTCAGTGCCGGCTACCTCGGCCACTACGGTGGATATGGCGGATACGGTGGCGGCTATGGCGGATACGGTGGTGGCTACGGCGGATACGGAGGCTATGGTGGATATGGAGGCTACGGTGGACACGGCGGTTACGGTGGATACGGTGGTTACGGAGGCCACGGAGGCTATGGCGGATACGGAGGCTACGGTGGCTATGGCGGTGGTTATGGCGGCTATGGCCACGGATGGTGGTAGTCCACTACACAAAAGAAGAGAGCGAGAAGAGTGTTGTCGGTTGTAAATAAATTTTTTAACAAATAATCTGCTGAGTTGTGTACCCTTATTGTGTCCTCAACTTGTTCAAGTGTATATATGCTTACACTCATTTTTGTTTTGTCGAACTGAAAGGAAATGAAAGAGTTGTCGCCACATCTTGGCAACGGATACCTCTTTTCACTAGGTTATTAGGAAAATGAAACAAAAACTCAGAAAGGTAATGTGGCATTACGTTGAGTGAACGCTAAAGTCCTGGTTTTAACACAGCCGATTATTCTCTTAACTAGGTCACTATTAATACCAGCCAGTAAGTCGATCAGTCAACACTTTTACTGAAAGGTCCTGGTAAGCTGGAGGACACCTAAGCAGTCGCTACTGTATAGGCAACGCCCTAGTTGAGGCGATAACGTGGTGACGTTCCGCCGCTTCTTAAGCCTTCTGGACTTCCTAGAGTTGGTGATGGAGCTCGTAGTTCCCGAGTGCCTCTTCCCAGTCGGATCCAGTGGTGATAGGTCCCCGATTTTGTCCCAGATAGCGGCAACTTCGAAGATGTGCCGAAGAACTTCAGCCGCTTTATTATGAACATCTGATGGCCGTAACCATAATACTTTGGCCAGTGAGAACGCTTGTTTTGAGCCTAAATGGAGCACCTGTTCGAGTGGCTCTCTAGGTGTGCTACGTCATTCATGGTCAAAGAAGCAAGAAGTCGCATCGGTTTTTATAGAATCAATCGGTTATAATTGACGTTCCGGCTGGTTGCGGGCTTTTTCCTCATTATTGAGAGCAACACAAGAAAGTTCAACCCTAAACACGTTAAGCGCTAAGAGTTATCGGTCCAAAATTGGACGTGCTTTAAACGCCAAATAATATATTCATAAATTCGTTAACGAGCAAAAAAAGGGCTCAATACCTTTTGAGAAATCACCGGGCATCATCAAGCTCCCTACCTTTCTTACATAACTTCTCTCTCTCTCTGTCTCACATTCACACAGGGGGTGCTATTCTGGACACTGTCTAATTCCGCCATATTGTCAAATTTCGTAATGGCGGCATTTTAAGCCAATGAGAGAGGTCGTAGCAGCTCACTTGGCCAATTAGCATTGATCAATGACGGGATCTGATTACACGGCAGAATTCGACCCTGGGTCTCTCATTCATTCACGTAAGAACACAGTTCTCCGATCGTATGAGCTGCGAATCTTCCCACTGGCATCACGTAATTTAGCTCATCGTTGCGGTAATTTAGCTCATCGCCCAAAAGCATGGAAATTTTTTTATTTTTCTTTTTAGGGGCGAATCTCTTTAAGGTCGAGGCTTGTCCGTTGGCGGCGTTGGCGTTGTGCGCCGTAGTCGCCGATGACGTTGATGACGATGAAGAACAAGAGCGTTTCTGCCATCACCATGCAAACAACCAACTACTATACGTAAAGATGAGGACGATAAAGCAACCACTACGCCATTAATTATTCTGCTGATAAGCGAGGTAAGGCATTATGTGTACTATGTGCTGTGGCTGATGACGATAAAGAATAACCACGTTTCAGACAACACATTCTTTTTCTGCCATGGATGTATGACAGAAAGAGAACTTGAAAAGAGCGGCACGGGGACAGCAAGCCGATCCAGGCTGGTGGCTTTGATGTAGATACAACAAACGACGACTGGCTTGTGCAGCGCATGACATCGTGATATGTTCTGAGAGGCATTTCATGGGGCTATAAGCAACAAACAACAGCCCCGCCGCGGTGGTCTAGTGGCTAAGGTACTCGGCTGCTGACCCGCAGGTCGCGGGTTCAAATCCCGGCTGCGGCGGCTGCATTTCCGATGGAGGCGGAAATGTCATAGGCCCGTGTGCTCAGATTTGGGTGCACGTTAAAGAACCCCAGGTGGTCAAAATTTCCGGAGTCCTCCACTACGGCGTCTCTCATAATGCATATGGTGGTTTTGCGACGTTAAACCCCACAAATCAAATCAAGCAACAAAACAACAATCATGGGGACGTGTTGTGACCTCGTCTTTGCGATATTCAGCTAGCTTACATCCCATCCAAGAACCCTTCATTTCACTTACCCGAAGGCAGTCCTAATGAAGAGAAAACGAAGTCTGCACCTCAATACCATATACAAACAATAAAACAACATCGTATATAGTATGCACACGTGTTATCTTTGCATGATCGAGTGGGCAATGTACGGGAGATTCAGGGTGACCTGATTGATCCTCCAAAGCTTCGCCCGCTCATCATCATTCACTTGGTGAATATACTGGGATTTATTTAAGTATCCAAGACCAGTACGCACGTAACAAAGAATGAATTCAGTCGCACTACAGTAGCACGTATAGTAGGCGGAACACGAGCTCAAAACTTACGAGCAAAAATACAAGAAACGTGACACAGTGCAAAAATGCACACAGTCGCAAAGCATGAACATTTCTGCCAATGACAGATTGCGTTTCTCTCGCAAGCAACAGTAACGTTCGGCAAGTTTCGTGCATCTATTCGTCAATGGACGACACATATATTGCGAGTAGGCTGCAGTCACCGCATTTTTATTCGCCGACTATCGGCTCACACCACTCACACACATAAAAAAAAAAGCGCCGCTGCGTACATTTTTATGCGTGCCACCGACCACTTATGCACACGTGCGGTGACGGTGCTGCCATCTGTAGGCCGATCTCGGGGTGAATACTAGGAAGGAAGGAAGCAACAAAAGGGAGAAGGCAGGGAGGTTAACCAGAAAGACATCCGGTTGGCTACCCTACACTGGCGGATTAGGTAAGGGGACAAGAAGGATGAGAAAAAGGGAAGAGAATGGCGAATACTAACTCCACACATACACTATGATGCTATGATTTAGCCTCTCCGCTCCCTCTTTTCCTACTCTCACCCTGACTTCCCTTTCCAACTGCTTGCTATACACGGCCATCTTATAATGGGCTGCGTGACACTAGAGTTACTGTATATATTACTTTTAGGCTAAATGTAGCATATACAGTAACTCTACGTGACACCATATGTGGCTTCGCTGTGCTAAACACTGGCACTTTCTACTTTGCATCCTCCTCCCCTGGCTAGAGTGTACTAGAAGAGGTAGGGCACTGCACCCTGGCTTCTCGTTGCCACCGTCTTTCAATGCACGGCAATGCTTCAGAAGCGGCCGCCATGACGTCTCGAGCATGGCGGCCGCTTTCTTGCGTAACTGAATGCGCTCCGCTGTAGTGGACATGTCCACAATGCGGACACATTGAGAATAACTATTATTGACTTGACTTAATGTAAGCAAGACAACAAACACAGGTCGTATGCACCTCAGAAGTTGTATCTTGCCTGTACTTACCCATGGAGCGGAAACCTGGAGGCTTACAAAGAGGGTTCAGCTTGAGTTGAGGACGACGCAGTGAGTGATGGAAAGGAAAATGATAGGTGTAACTTTAAGAGACAAGAAGAGGGCAGTGTAGGTCAGGGGACAAACCGGGGTTAAGGATATCATAGTTGAAATCAAGATGAAGAAATGGACAGGGGCCGAGCACATAGCACCCGGGCAGTATAACCGCTGGTCATTAAGGGCTGCTGACTGAATTCCCAGGGAAGGCAAACGCACGAAAGGGAGACTGAATGTTCGGTGGGCCGATGAGATTAACAAGTTCACAGGTATAGCCTGGAAGCAGAAAGCACAAGACGGGTTGATTGGTGGATCATGGGAGAGGCGTTTGTCCTGCAATGGGCGTAGTCAGGCCGATGATGATGAAACGAGACAACATACACAGGTGGTATGCATATCAGGATTCTCCATCAACAGCAGTGAAGGCGCAATAGTAGGCGTGTGCGAATATTCAAAAACTTTTATCGAACAGAACAGCGTTGTGTTCGATTTGGTACAGGCATCGAATCGGGCGTATCAGAAATACCGAACATTTTTCGTAAAGTAAGAACCAAAGGAAAAGCTTCAAAAAGAAGGAAGCGTTGAAACAGAGAGAAGTAATGTTTCTTGTTTTAATAATCGAATCACCAACATGCGTGCACCCCAAAGTTCTACAGGACTATCGACGTTTTCAATGATTACGGGATGATGTCGTTTTCCCTTACAACTCTATAGTGTCCCCGGAACGATAGTCATAAATCTACTATATTCCTCATGACATTCATGGCAATGTTCAATCATGAGCATTATTTGGTATTCATACATCAATTTATTCGAAAGCTGTACAGAAAGTGACGCTTTGAACATTAGTCTCTGCTGTATTTCAGCCTCCAGTTATTCGGAAGGAAAAAAAAAAAACGAGAGAGAGGGAATGCGGCGATGTGAACCAGTTTGGCATGACCGCTATATGCTAGGCACTGCGCCGTGCTCCCAACCGGGTTGCAGAAATTAGGTGCCTTTTCTCATTTTTTAACCACTACCCACCACCGCGATGCTACCCTGCAACAGTGGGAAGAGATGGGGCAGTTCAAAAGAAAAGTAAAGAAACTGAAAGTGAGGAGAGCGTGTCCACACACACACTCATAATGTCGAAGCGCAGAGCGGCAGTCTTGTGCGGTATACGGCATTAGGAGTACTATATACTGTACAGCCGCTCGTACAAGTCTGTTGTCCTTATTGGAATTTCAGCAATGCCCTGGTTGTTTGAATTATCGATGACCTTTCAGGATGACATTGAAGAATAGTTTCGAGTGTCACCGTTCTGTCGTCAAGGGGTGTTGTGCCCGAGCTTGCCTCAGTTTACATAATGTTAGTTTTTGTTGTTGGTTAAATGTAAACGTATGTCCTTTTGCTAAACCTTGTGAGTATTTGTTTCAACTGAAATGTGGAATTCTTTTGCTGCTTTAAATTCTTTCATTACCATTTTAGGGCTGCCTCGAATGTGGCTGCCTTTTTTATAAAACTGTTGGAAGAGGGCTCTATTGGCGTTTGCCTTCGATTTAGTTCTAAAATTTACTATTCGCACACCTGTACGCAATACCGATGAACAGTTTTCATCTCGCATGTGAGGAATATCGCATGACCCCAATGCATTCGACCACACCACGGCGCCGCTTGTTA